AACTATATACTTGTGGTGAAGTTACCAGCTTGGTTTGGTACCGAATTTTTTTGCGTACCAGATTAAAATAGTATGATGACCAAGACGGTGTAAACAGTTTGGTTTACTTTTGTATAGCCTTGAATTGACTTGACTGCAAGTGGCAGTTATTTCATGCGTTCTCATATAACAATATTTCATTCAATTTCAGCTAATTTCGTATCCAACTAAAAGGATTCATTCTTAATTTACGAATTCAAGTGGAGTTCCACAACCTAACCTCAAGAAAATAATCAAATCAAAACAGAGTTGGTAACGTTAGTCAATTGAAGATATATGGTGTAAACATGCATTAACTAAGGCATTTGTTCTGAATTTAGTTAGATCTGCTTGGTAAGCATACCAACTATCCATACGGTATAAACGCGTGGCCATTACCTAAACTAATAAAATACGTTACGAAACGATTCAGTCAATAGGCCCTGAACAACGAATTGAATATTGTGAAGTTTCTGAACATCAGCTGGAGATCGTCCTGCGCGATTCACTGTTGCGTTATAAATAAACAGTGCTCCTCGGAGGTGGCTGGCGTATGGAGTCAGTAACAAAGTCTTCACAGAACACATCATTTCCGAACACTCTGGGCTGAAGGACCTCAACGGAGTATATATACTACTGAAATACTGGGTAGGAATTTGGATTGAATAACTAATATTTGACATGTGTGAAGTATTGTTAGTCCGGCCCTGTTCAGTTAGAACGCGTTAACAAGGTATCGGCCAAAAATGAAAAACTCTCGATTCAGATTTCCCTTAGGAGTCGTTATTGGTCCCTTTCCACATGGTTTCGTGACCTACTAGGCCCTAAATCAGGTATCCTGAATCCGACTATAAAGCCTGTCTAAATGATGGGGGCAGATTTTCTTCAATTTAGCAGATGCCAGGGGGTGCTGAAAAAGTCCTCCTCAATGAAAATTAGATGGTATCATATTGAATAAGTATGTTCAAACCAAACTAAATTGAATGTACAACTTGATAAAACTATACAAGTCGTAGTAGATTCAACAAACAGTTAGGAACAGTTATTTATTTTACTAGGCAGCAAAGTTGATAGTTCATAGTCGAGCGTTGCGAGGCTAAGAGTGGAACATAAAATTATTTCTGCACATGTTATAAAAGTAATTTTGTGTAATATTTTGTGTTCACCCAATGTCGGTGTAAATTTTGATTTCCAAGTTCATTCAAATTATATGGAACGTTGCATGGCAACAAACTTTTTCTGCATAGGAAGAGAAGTACACCTTCACTGCCTGTTGAGTGTCATAGAAAAGCCATTGTCTATGCTGTTTGAAGAAAAATGTATTCCAAACAGAGAAAGTACTGATGCCTAGCCAGAAAAAGTTTGTTGCTCTATTGAATCAAATTGGTAATCAAAAATGGCAATGACTTTTGGGTGAACACACGGTGATGAATTATTCAGACTTATCGTGGAATTGAAACGAATTAGAAGAGAATTATATGTTTCACATGGCAGAAAAGAAGAATGCTCTGATCATAGATGGAAACCCAAAGTCATCTCCATAACATTCATTAGAAAGATCAGAGATCAATCGTAAAGGAACATGTTTCGGGTTCATATAAGCCCATCATCAGCCAATCGAAAGTATCATAGTTATGGAAATGAAAACAATAGACACACAAATAGTATAGTTAATAACAGTGCAAACAGGGAAATATGCTCCATAGGAAGTGAAGGGTACTGTAAAAAGTAATTCGACGGAATAAAAACATACATTTGAACTTTTGGTGAAGGAACATCATTCACCATTTCATTCGAAAAAAAGTCATCATCCTGAAGATCCGGCTTGGGATAATGGAACAAAAAACATAAATTATGCTATTATCATGGGTCCTTGATGAGCTTGCGATAGTTTCGATTTCATTCGACGTTTTGAAGTGGGTCAAAATCTCGAGGAAGGATAATCTACTGTGGTCGAAATCAGCCATCTCTCTAACTGTTACTATTCATACGAGTATTTGCTGTAACACAATGCCCTGTCTCTGGATTGAAGAAAGCATTGTGAAGGAATGAAAACGAATATTTGAATTTTGTTGAAGGAACATTTTGAAAATTTTGTGACGGAATAAAATTCACCATTTTATTAGAAAAAAAAATCATCCTGAAGGTCCTGATCAGGAAAATTGGACGAAAGTAAGAAGACTATCAAATTATGTTATAATGTCATCTGCTCTTGATGAGTGTGCGAAGTTTCAATTCAATTCAAAGTTTTTAGATGGTATAAAATAAGTTTTATAGAGATACATTTCCTATTCATTCAGAATCAAAAACAATATCATTCTTGTGCTGAAGTTATTGATTGAACAGATAATCACAAGTAGAAACTTGAGATAAATTTGACAAAAAACAAAGCAATATGTACACCCTTTTCACGAATAGGTACACGATTCTTCCTTTTTTTCTTGAGAATGCAATATTCTCCTCAATAGTTGGAGATCAGCTGTTAAGTTATTTAGGTAATATACGATTTGGTCTTGTAACTTTTGACATGAATTATTCACCTCTGTAGCATGGACTTATTCCTCAAGATACAACATGGATTACAATATGTTAGTTTTTCATAATAGAGTACCTTTCTGGTGTAAAATTGAATGATGCTGAAGCTCACATTGAATTTGGATTGAAAAATCTAACCTCAAAAAAGTTATGTTTGAAACAACTCTGTACGCACCGTGTATCTAGCGCCCTCTATGAGTGTGAGATAAGATATCAAAACGAATTCGTGCGATGTGCCAGGTTCCATAATACATCCATACAAAATATCATCACAATCATTCGAGTAGTTTTGACATAATCGTAAAAAAATGTGTGAAAAATTTGTTATTCAACACCTTATTGTATCTTGATAACAGATGTCGTTACGACATTTTCTTACTTAGCAAACACAACTTGTTTTGCAGTGTTCTACATACCCTTGCTAAGAGGTCAGGTTTTTTTTAAACACCCTGCTTATAAGGTTAATAATGAACTCTTAATCCCTAATTTGGGAGGGTGGCACATTCATTCCCTCAGAGATTGAAACGCAGTCAGCAAAGTTGCCATTTTGAATCTAGAGTACCTAGGTGCCGCATTACTTTCTTGATCATTCTACTTTTCGTTTTTCTACTCCTGAAGTGCATAAAATAGTATATAAACCACGAGATGAAAGATCCTTGCTGATTTTGAGTTAGTTAGGAATAAAAAACCGCAAGATTCAGACAAGATATTTTGATATTTTATATAAAAACGATGAACTCATACCAACTCAGTCAAATATCTGCTAACATCGCTTCAATGAACCTAATCTCTGAGAGATCATTTCAAAAGTCGTCACGAGTGACAAAATTCTCAGATAATGTGGAAATGCAGCGATCCATTCCGAAGGATTCGTATAGCAGGTATGGCACAAAGAATACCTATTCGAAAATATCGTGTAACCCGAAAAAAGAAAAATGGAAGAAGGCAGTAAGTAATTTCATTCACCTAGAAAGTCCCCTGATGCCTGCTGCAAAAATTGTACTCGAGAGGAATGGGATATGTTGTCACCGAAAAAGTTATTGAATCGACTATGACGATGAGAGATGGAATTGTGATATGCAATACCATGATGATACTGGAGTGTATGGTGTTAGATTTCTATACTTGTGTATACCTTTTATATCTATGATTTTTTCCTGTGAATATATTTTCCGAATTATACTGTCACGAGTATAGAACAGATTCGGTTGGAATATTAGTAATTTTCAGGTTTATAAACATTTAAGTTAATCAAATTATTATATGTATATTGAACTATAAGTTTAGATACTATACACATCACACATCACTAAATAATGTGAAATAAAACGTTTTTGGCTACTACCAGAGGCGTACGAGAGGAGCAATTGACTGGCTGATATCCATCCCTAATTCCAATATTGTTTACGTAAATATCATATTCTTTCTTCATAGCGATGAAGTCATTATTTTTCGAAATATTCCAAACTGAATAGATTATAATAAGTATATAACAGGGTGTCCCCAAAAGGTCTGTACATGATATTAGCAAACAGTCCTAAGTTCAAAATATACCAACGTTTCCGAGATACAAGGTGATAAATTAAAAAAATAATAATCGGCAGTATATACTCCAAAAAAAATATTTTGAAAAATCCACTTTTGCACTGCTCATTCACGGACTTTATAAACATCCACGATTTCCACGAAGATAACACTGATAACGGCAAACGTGTTTTATTCAAAATAATTTGAATTTGAGGTGTGGCATCGAATACTAAAAACCGAAAATATTTCGAAAACGGATCACTTTTGCGAATTTTCCCACGTGTAAGAATGAAGAACTATACACTGACAAAAAAGTTATTGCCATCATTTTGAGAAGTGCATTGGTAAGCGCCTTCTAATTTCCACATTGAAAAGGTGTTTCGAATCACAAAAAGTCCTCGGCTACCAATTTCTGAAGAGATACGTTAAAAAATGTTCATACATTTTGAAAAATTCGATTTTTACTTTTCAACTTTACTCGGGAATGGAGCAATTTCGGTTGTTTCAAATCGTCTTGTTTTGACAGAAATATGTGCTGAGATTTTGTACATACCTTTCAGGTACACCCTGTATATGTATGTGTAACTGATACTCCGAGAAAAATAATAAAATATCTTCTGAATGGATTCATTTCTGAGATATAAAATGTTCATTGGAAGAAATATATTCGAGATTGTGAAGCCACTCTATCATCATTATGAGCCAACGCGCCGAAACATGCATGGAACGAGCATCGAACGCCCGGCTGCAGGCAACACAATTTCGAGCCTGCTCAGTTGGTTGCCTGAATCCATGATCTACGGCTAGCGATCCACAGTCCAGTCAGATGTCGATTGTCGAGTGATTCTGTTTTCTGTCAATTCTCAGTTTAGTTATATGTTTTGTGAGCTTCTTCGCTTCTTGTCATTGTCAATTATATTGTCAACTTGTCATAAGGAAATAGGAATACGATTTTCATTTGATGGTGGAAATAGAAAATACATGAAAATAACACAGGCCACAGGTGAAAATACGCATTTATAGCTAACTAGACACCATTCTTCACTAAATTGACTGGAAATTCAACGATTCTCAAGTGAACTTACAATGTGAGTATGCTATTCAACTTTCTGTATTGATTTCATGATTATGCACTGCAAATTTCTAGTTGTTTAGCTGACTTGAAATATTCTTTTAGCCACAATAATGGGTGATGAGCCAGTTATGGCTACAAACGATGATGCTAGCGAGTGCAAAAGAGGGGCTGTGCAGCTAGGCTATTGGACAGATGACTACATATCATATTTTGTGAGACATGTAGAGCGTAGGGCTCCAGAAATCAATAGAGGCTACTATGCTCGAGTCAAAGGCATTGAAAACTTCATACAAAAGTTCATCAGCAAAGCAGGCAGCACGGCACAAATACTCAATTTCGGATCAGGGTTTGATACTTTATACTGGAAGCTCAAAGATGAGGGAGTACAAATTGCCAACTATGTAGAGATAGACTTTCCTACTGTGACAGCTAAGAAATGTTACACCATAAAGAGAAACAAACCATTATTGCAAAGGATACATGATCAAGATGGGGAGGTCAAGCTGAGCTCCACAGACCTGCATGCTGGAAATTACCACTGCATAGGGGTAGATATAAGGAATATATCTCAGCTCGAAATCAAACTGAGGCAAGCAGAAGTGAACTTTGATAGACCAACATTGTTCATTGCAGAGTGTGTTTTAGTGTATATTGAGAATGAGTGTGTGAATAGACTGCTAACATGGATATCATCAAAATTCAAAGCTGGGCTTTTTGTTAACTATGAAATGTGTAATATGAATGATACATTTGGGGAGGTTATGTTGGGGAATTTGAGAGTAAGAGGTTGCAATTTGGCAGGTATAGCTCATTGCAAGAATCTTGAAATGCAGAAAGCAAGGTTTATGAATAATGGCTGGTTAGGTTCAAAGGCATGGGACATGGTGGAAATATACTATGCAATTTCACAGTCTGAGAGGCACAGGATTGAAAAAATTGAGTTTCTTGATGAACAAGAGCTTCTTATCCAACTATTTCAGCATTATTGTATTTGTATAGGTTGGTTGAGTCAGGAATTTTCTGAGCTTACTTGTACTGATGAATAAAATTGTTTGTCTTGAATTTTATGAGCCTGTGATATGAAAGAAATATGATTTAAAGTAAATTATTGAATCTTTGTTATACTTATGTGACAGTAACACAACTCATTTCATGTGGTGAACAAATGAATTCCTCAAAAATGATCCTCCATCCTTTGTTAATATCTTTGAAAATACTCTAATTTTAATTGGAGCATTAAGTTTTTTGAGAGTTGTTTCCTTGAAATTATACCTGAGAATTTTAAAGACTTCCTCAGTGTGTGTGATTTATGTTTTGTCAGTTGTGTAATATTGAGGATATATAATCTATAAATATTGCCAGTATTGAATGTTGTTTTCAATGAATGTAATGTGGAAGGATGAATAAAAGAACTACTTTATGAATTTGCCAACTCATTAATTACTTTTCTGAATCAGCATATGATTCCAAATATTCCAATAATTATAAATTAGATTAGCTACTTTAATAAGCAAATTAATTGGTTATATGTTGAAATATTCTGAAAAAGTAGAAAGAAACCAGCATTGGCATGATACTTCTTGACATTTAATGGATGTTCATCTCTGAATTATGAACTCAATAGGATATATTCAGTAGTAATACTGTTAGTAGGTACTTCAAATAACTAATGTCAGTTTAACTAGCAGAGAGACATTCTTTTCACTGGTTCAACAGTTGAAATAATCCGACCTTGTAGTTCCAATTGTATTATATGCGATTAGTTTTTTAGTACTATGGGAATGGAAATAATTCAAAATCTTTGATTGGTGGATGAGTTACTCTATGTATATCCACGAATATTCGAAATTATACAGAGTAGCTTGACTCAATTGAAAGTTCGGATTGGTTTAAAATCATATGAAGAAAAAAATCAAAAATAAGATTCAATTTTTCAATGATACCATCGAGTATTCACACTTATAATCAAGGATGATACAGACATTTAAGTTTTTTGCTTTGAATGCTTCGGATATATTATGAATACCGTTGGGATATCTTCTGAAGGATATCCTTTCGGAATCCATCAATGAATATCTCGTGGATATCCATTACAATCCCAGGATAGAAAATAAAGAGAGGAGAGAACATATACCGGTCGATACAGGGAGGGTATCGGGCCACCCCTGTCATTTCTGCATTCAAGAACGAATTTTGCTGAAATTTCGTACAGTTATATGAGCAACCATTTCGGATTTGATCACATGACAATCCAAAATGCCTGACTTCCGGTTTTTCCGGAAATGCCACCAACATTTTTTTTAGATGGAACACCTTGTATATTTTCAGATATACAAGGTGGTTTTTCATATGATGAAGTCTGGTAAAGCGCGGTTGCCTTTTATTGGCTTGGTGCCGGCTGGATTATAGTTGAATGATTTCAATATACCATATAATAAAGAGCAGCCGATGTTGAGACGACGTTGTGAAATGGCATCACGATTTGATACTACTGGTCCAATGCTGGCTGGATTATGGATAAACGATTACAATACACCATACAATGGGCCGACGTTCGCCCGTTGTAGCTCAGCCGTTGCCAGCACTCTACCGACTGATCATGCATTGGGCCAGAAGGCTGCCAGATATTCGATGTTTGCGTTATCGTCTGTTATAAGTAGGATTGCAAATCCTATAACCCTCTATTGGTATACACGTCTAAACTCGTGACTCATGATGGATGTAATCAATTAATTCGTGAGTTTGAATTCCGAATAAAAAGAATTGCGTTGGGCTTGGCACAATGGCACAAATTAACTTCCCTTCAGCTTGTTCTTTGATGTCGAAGATGGGTGATCCGCGAATAAATCCGCTCCAATCGGCATCTTCATAACAAGTACCTAAAATAATGGCTCATCCTAATTTGCATCGAATTAGATCCGGTGTAGCGCGGAATGGGTTCCGGTTATTCAGAAATATGTCATTAGGATTTCTCTCTCGGGTAATATTCGCGTGAAAGAAAGTGGGGGATGCGGTGTTTCTGGAATTCCGACCGCTTTTGAATGATATTACGCCTTTAATCCAGTAACCTTCTCATCAAAAGAGGCCCACCTTACATGGTTTGGGGTACTAGGTTTTTTTTTTATATTGTTTGGGATAGTACAGAGATGCCAAATCCAATTTTTCGACCTCGGCGACCTTCCGGATCACCGCCATTTAAGGATTAAACGGCTAAAAGTTTGCACTTTTTTCAGATTTCGCCATTTTTGACCCAGAAGGATGAGTACTTTTTCAACAAAGACAACTCTATTCATTTTTGAACAACATACAATTTCCTATATACTGAGCTTAATATGATTACTGTAGGGGCCCAACAGTTCGCGAAATACAGATTATCAAGTCGGACGAAGACACTTGAAGAACTTTTTCACACACGAGCTTTGACCATTTCCTATGTCATTATTTACACAATATGGAATGAGGAAGGGTACAAAATCCTCTTTTTATGCAGCATTCCAACCTGTCCATGTTGCTGAAACACATGATGGTAAAACTAAATTTGTTGTTGTAGACGGATGTCATCTCCTACATAAGGTGATGTGGCCGCATAGCAGTAGTGTTTGACGGGTATCCTATAAAGAGGCTGAAAAGAAGAATACAAAATGCGCAGAACGCATTCGTCGAGTTGTGGCACAGTGTTCTCCAGAGGTAATATTTGGAGAAACTATATACCTCAGATTTGCCCAGAAAAGTTTTTATCCAATGATAAAAACAAGTTGAGATGCATCCAACTACTGAAGGCAAAGATGGAAATGAAAAACATTCAGGTTTTCCAGGCTGAAGATGCTGACGGGATGATTGTCACTACAGCTATCGCAAAGTCCTTTGATTATGAAGAAGTGTTTATTGTAGGTGAGGACGTAGACTTGTTTGTGATTCTCAATGGCCTCACGAATCCCACACAAAATAACATATTTCTTCAAAAATGTGGAAGAGGAAAAACATCAGATGTCTTCTTTTCAAAAACCTCAATATCATCAGACCACCATCTCATCCCTTTCATCCATATGCCTTTAGTGGATAGTGGATGTGATTCCACGTCCTCCTTGTTTGGTCAAGGAAAAGGCAAGTTTCTCTAAACTATTCAATTAATTTCGATATAATGGAGAAATCAGCGGTTTTTACCAAGCCCAATGCGACGCAAGATGAAGTAGCTGAAGCAGCTAAAAAACCAATATATTATATATAGATTCCAGAATAATCCATAGTTTTTGAATGCTGCGGCTGCGTATAGTCCAAAATGAATTGTTCTTCTGCTATTATTTCCACTCAAGTTTTTGCTTGAATCTGAAAGTGGGTGCGGTTGGCTTGTGGTTGAAAAAAGTCAGATACAATCCAATACAGTGGGAGTTCCAGTGTTCCCTTCTGGATTTACCCCACGATATACATACACATTGGAATCCTGCGAAATGGCACGCTAGTTCTACCACAGGGGTCCTCAGAGACCAACCCTGACACGTATACAGTGATTGATATTATTGTTATATCCGCGATTTTGTTGGCAGGAAATTGTTATTTCTCTAGGAGTCTTCCGAATGCAGTTTATTGGGGTTATCGTGAATATATATGAGCAGTATAGCACCGTTTTCAGAGTAAATTTTTGAGAATTGAGATTCCTTTTGCTCATTTTCTTTTCGTAGTAAAAATCATATTCTGAGGACCTCTCTGGGACTGCTGGGAAATCAACAATCCAATGATTATGTGGATACAAAATTGTATGAATCTCGGCATCATTAATAGCTCATAAAAGTTTGAAACTCGAAGCAATAATTCAATGATCATCAATTTATTAGTCATTGCGAGTACATAACAGAATAAAGGATATTGGAATTCATGATATGAATTGATTCGAGATAAACGTGACAGCACGGAGCACCGCAAAATTTCAGTAATCAAGCAATAAACGTAGAAGTTATGAAACTAATCATTATCATTCAGCATTCTTGTTGTTGTCACCGGCTTTTTTGTGTTTGTTTGTACAGAGTGTGATTTTATAGCCGGAAACATTTCAAAAGTTGACCAATAATTTGGGAAATGTGAGGAACCTTAGAATTTTTTTTTAGATGTTGGGTGAATTGTTGGGCCGATACTTCGAGACGTCTTTGAAATTTTTTTATAAATTGCGTTGCTATGGAAAAATCGTCATTTTATGATGACTGATGATTTTTTTGTTGAACAATATCATTTACTATCTAAACTGCAACAAGGGATATTTCTATTGAAACTAATTAACACCAGTGGCGCGTAGAAAGGGGTTTATGATATTAGGAACGAAAATCCGAATTTTCACTGGGCGGCAAAGAACAACACTCATTATAATTATTGAAAATGTCTCCATATATGGATCAAACTATTTGAATCGCCTTTTATAATGAATCCTCTTTTATTCGCCAATGAGTTACATGAATGGTCATTTTTATAGGTAAAAACAAATTGAACTGGAATTTTAATTTGTCTACATTACATAATCCCTTTTTGCACGCCTCTGAATTAATGGTAGGGCATCTTTTTCACTGCAACGATCAATAAAACTGTTTTGTCAATAAAAAGGAATTTTCTTTTCAAAATATGATAAACCCTGCTTTTTTGCGCGCCAATGGTGTTGATCATCTTCAGGAGGAATATTCCTGGTTGCAGTTTAGATGGTGTCATTCATTGTTTAACTAAATCAGCCCACATGCATTTTGAAATAAAAACCAAATTTCATAAAATGGTGATTTTTCCATAGCGACGCAATTTATCAAAAACATTTCTAAGACGGCTTGTGGTATCGGCCTAACAATTCACCCAGCATCTAAAAAAAATTTTAAGGTATCTCACATTTCCCAAATTGTTGGTCACAAATTTGAAATATTTCCGGCTCTAAATTCACACCCTGTACAAAGAGAACGAATCGCAATAAAAGAAACCCGACGCCAATGACGCATAGACCAAGGACGACGCTTTCTACCTGTGGTTGAAAATCCAACATCTGCCAAGAAATGCCCAAGTTATAGCATGTCAAAATTAGTCAATTTTTTGACTGTCCTACTTCATCTGGTAAGTAGTTCAGTATAAATCTAAATCACACCATTGTCGTTTTAGATGACAACCTATAGTTAGGTAGTTAGTAGGCAGGAGCTATAATACCTCCTCGCACTAGGTCGCCTACT